CTCGGCACAGCTGGCACCGGATCAAGCTGGATATCGTTTTCGGGACAAAGAGCAAAGAAATGTCGTTTTTGTGTCCGAAGAAACACAAGGATTGCGACGTTTTTTAGTCAACCGTTTCGCTTTTTGAGAATTTTTATGTTTAAGGTTTAGGGTCAACGGGGACTTCGCACTGAAATTTTCCAAGTGTCAGCTCGTGTCCAGCCCTGACCCAAGCGCGCTAATTTCTTCCATTTTCCTCAACTCTTCAGCTTTTCAACCTTTTTCAACCTTCAGTTTTTGAAAAGTTATAGGCGTAATAATTGACCCAAACGCACTTAGACTAGCATTTCATATAAGATGTTTATAATGAACAAATAACCAAATAAGCACAAGTTAGCCGTTTTTTGCACACGAATAAAAATGTACACATTCTAAGCGAATTTTGCGAATCGTACAGGCTTGCCAGACAACTGATAATTAGAGATCGTAAGTAGAAAAATTGAGATCGGATTTACTGCACTCATAGAACAAGCCAAGAGCAAGGGTACGAACAGCTAATGGTCCAAAAAGGAAAAAATTACTCAACAAAATATTGAGAAATGCAACAACGAAACATTACACGTGAGACCTATATTCTACAAAAAAGAAATGTTCATACAGCACTAGACGTGGTTTCGGTTTTTGATTGAGCAGGTAGCGATAAAGCTCTTGGACTAATACCATTACGTTTTGAAGTGATAAATAATACGGTCTGGTTGTTGCGACATGACTAGAAGAAAAAATATTTACAGCAAGCAGATTTTAAATGAGGAAATCATATTTACGATATTTTTATGATTGATAGTAGCGATATGTGTACAACTAATATATAATTCTAGTACAACAGATACTTATACAGTTCTACAAATAATGACTGAACGTGAACCCATCACCAAACGTGCCTTTTGTTTCATTCCAAGTATTTCGAATATTCGCTTCTGGATTCGCCTGAATTAGAAAAAATGTATTTTTTACCGTAAAAGAACCTCTGTGAATTACATACTTATTGATCAATAAATAAGGAAGAATTATGGAGATGTAGAACCCGAGAGTGATAAGATTTCTGGCCAACAAGCCTGGGATCGACATTACTCGCTTCTCGAAGAATTCCCAATAGATGAAGTACATGCATTCGATGGTCACAAATAGCGCTACCTAAAAAGAGAAAGGTATACTGTAGATGCAGTTCGCGTTACTGTAGGGTTACGGTACCTGCAGTGTCATGCGAGACTCATTAGTGGTGAATGATAATGAATGACGACAGTAGAGGTAGGTGAAAATGATCGAATACGCAAAAATATTCGTTCCTCCGAGGGTGTAGTTGGCTACTCGTTTGGCCCTGCAAGATACGATTTTTATCAAAATTTTATTTTTTTGAATATATAATTGACTTACAATCGCAGCAGCTCGAAATTGCTCTCGGCTAAATCGTCGTAGGAGAGAAGGTTTGGTACGAAATGGTAATGAGTACTGCTTGGATATGTGAAATAAACAATAGTAGCGAAACAAGCTGCCACGAATACAAGTAGACCCTAAAATCATCAAATAATAGTATTTTTTCCTGGAAAAACTTTTATATTTTCAAAAGCCGGTAAATTAGTTACATATAGTTGTTTTTTAAAATCAACTCAATCTACTTTTTGTCAGAAAAAT